ACAAATCTTTAACATTTAATGAGGAAGTTTAATAAAAAGTAAATGTCTGCTGAGAATGCAAATCGGTATGCATGATTTGCTGTGGTTTGCTGCATTGTTAAAATCTCAGAAGGATCAATGTTTAACGAAAACTTTAAGAAGTGAAAATAAGGTGAAGATTTTGGAAGGCTGGGAGTACCTGCCTGCCTTCATGAACTGCACGGGGCTGAATTCTCAAAGGAATTCTTAAGCATTGTGAAACAGCAACAGCCAACAAGATACAACTTGAATTTCATTCTGCACAAGAAAACAGTAATTTCTGCAGCAAGGCCATAACACTTTGATTCCAACTGTGTAATTTGATAAAAGGTCCTGAGTATGCATTCTAAAAAGTCTTTATTTTTCATTTTTTGTTCCTTTTTAACAACAAATAAAAATTAAACCATAAATAAATAATTAAGCATGAATGCATATTTATTGCTCTTTATGAATAAATAATAAAAATGCCCAGATTATTTTAAACTATGATGTCTTCTTGGTATAGAATCATCATAATACTTCATCTATGAATCTTTTATCAGTGTATTAATTTCCAAAAAAGGACTTTTTGGGGCCGACATGTTTCATGCTTTATCTCAACCCTGCAATGCTAAATAGGCCATGCATCACCAATTTTAACGTTCTCTGAAAATGAAAGAACTTTTTTCATTTGTTAATTTTTTCTCAGTTTTGTTGTTTTTCTTAGATACAAAAAAGCCATTTTTTAGTTAACTCAAAGAATTGTAGAAATGAAGGGCTGGGATGGATCTCAAGAGGTCATCTAGTCCACCTCCAGCACAGAGGCAGGACAAAGTATACCTACAGCATTTCTGACAGTTGTTTATCTAACCTATTTTTCTTTAAAACCTCCAAGGATAGGGAATCCACCATGTTCCTTGGAAATCTATTCCAGTGCTTAACTAACCGTATAGTTAGAATTTCCCCCCCTAATATCTAACATAAATCTCCCTTCCTGCAGATTAAGCCCATTACTACTTGTCCAACCTTCAGCAGACACGGAGAACAACTGATCACGGCCCTCTTTATAACAACCCTTAACATATTTGAAGACTGTTATCAGGTACCTCCTCAGTCGTCTTAGTCTCAAGACTAAACAGACCCAGTTTTTTAACCTCCTATGTCTTACATGTGACCCTTCTGTTAAAACATCCCAGAATCATATTAGCCTTTTTTTCACAACTTCATCATGTTGTTGACTCATATTCAATTTGTTATCCACTGTAACCTCCAGATCCTTTTCACCAGTGCTACCACTTAGCCAGTTATTCCTCATTTTATATTTTGCATTTGATTTTTCCTTCCCAAGCATAGTATTTTGTCCTTGTCTTTATTGAATTTTATCTTGTTGATTTGAGACAAATTCTCCAATTTTTCCAAAGTTGTTTTGAATTTGAATCCTGTCCTTCAGAGTGCTTTTAGCCTCTCCTAGCTTGGTGTCATCTCCAAATTTCATAAGCATAGTCTCCGCTCAACCATCTAAGTCATTAGTGAAAACATTAAATAGTTCCAGGCCCAGGATAGATTCCTGATGTATCCCACTAGATATACCCCCCCCAGTTGGATAGAAAACCATTGATAACTATTCTTTGAGTACAGTCTTTCAACCAGTTTTGCACCTACCTTATAGTAATTTAATCTAAAACAGATTTCCGTAGTTTGTTTGTGAGAATATCATGTGGGACTATTTCAAAAGTCTTACTAAAATGAAGATATATCCCTTCTCAGCCCATCCCTCCCCATCCACTGTGCCAGTAATTCTGTCAAATGAGGAAACTATGTTGGTTTGGCATGATTTCTTCTTGGTAAATCGGTGTTCGCTATTACTCATAAACATTTTCTCTTTAATGTGTTTACATAATGACTGTTTAATAATTTGTTCCAATATCTTTCCAGGTATTGAACTTTGGCTGAGTGGTCTGTAATTCCCCAGGTCCTCTTAGTTCCTTTCTTAAATGATAGGTGCTATGTTTGCCTTTCTCCATTCCTCTGGGACCTCACCCATTCTCCATGAGCTTTCAAAGATAATTACTAATTGTTCTGAGGTTGCTTTTACTAGTTTCTTAAGCACTCTAGAGTGAATTTCATCACACTCACACTTTGCTGACTTGAATACATCTAACTACATTGTAACCTGTTCTTTCCCCATTCTGGCTCGTTCTCTTTCTTCTTTGTTATTAATATTGTGTTAAGTATCTGTTCACTATTTATCATTTTAGTGAGGACTGAAGCAAAATGGGTTTAAACACCTCAACCTTCTTGGTGTTGTCCATTATCAGCTCTCCTTTCCTCCTTGGTCCTACATTTTCCTTCCACATTCAGTTACTCCAAATGTTTTTTATAGAATTTTTTCCTATTGTCTTTCACTCACCCTTAGAAATTTGCCCATGTGTCTGTGCTTTGTAAGATACCTTTTTGATTTTCAGGTCATTAAAGAGCTTTTGATGGAGCCATACTGGCCACTTACTATTCTTTACTCTTCAACCCCACCAATTCCCAGGCCTCCACCTTCCACTCACAAGTCTCTGGGACTATTCATGTCTGTAAACTTAAGCACATGCTTAAGTGTTTTGCTGGATTGGGAAAGAGTGTTTGGCATCTTACAGGATCAAACTTCCAGTCCTCCAGATGCCTTCCTGCTTTTAGGAAAAAAAGGTACTGAAGTACTGGACTATCCCAAAAGTGCAGTTTAAGATGTTAGTTGTATTCTGTAAACTCTTAAATGGCCTGGAATATGCTTACATCCATTCTCTCTCCCTGTTTTAGATCCTCATAGCAGTGATCAGCAGAGGCACTCATATACTCCTCTGTTTAAAAGAGAGAGGGACTGTTAGAAAGGTGTTGCAATGAAATAACATCAGCTTTGGACCTTACTCCTCCTATGCCTTCTGAAAAAGCCTATATCCGTTGATGTGCAGAGACTTCTTCAAAGCTCATATGTTTTCCAAGGTTTAGAGAAGGTGTCAGGGCTAATATGTTTTGACCGGGTAGGCAGTTGCGGGTAATTACTGTTTTTGAGGGTAGGAAGAGATTGCAGTTTTTACCAGTTTTTACCAGAAGCTGCCTAGGTGGGGAGGTGGTTTTGGTTAGTATATACATTGAGATGAATAAAATCACTTTGTTCCTGTGTCCTGGCATTGACGGTGGCCCAAATGAAATAAAATAATACTTCAGCATAAAATAATATATCCATTAATAAAAAGTATAAGTAAATTAATATGGAAAGTCTGTAGTCAGCAGAGATTTTAGACTATATTAGGGTACAGAGAAGATATGGCTTTTTCATGTTGATGTTTATATTATTGCTGAAGAGAGTGGAAGTTCATTCTTCAGGTAGTTAAGCAAGTTGTAAAACAGAGGAGGGGGCATTTGCTGTTAATCGAAGTTACCTGTCAATATTTGCTGAAACTTGTACATGAACATTAAGTATGGGCATCACAGTAAAAATGGCCATATGGATTTCAATAACAGTTTAAGGAAAGAACTTTGTATTTCTCTTTTCAGTTTATTGTACTTCAAAAATAATTCAGTTATCTTGAACCTAAAATGATTGCATGCCAGTGTATCTGTTACATTTCTATATAGGTTATTAAAACTTGGATAAAAATAAATAGGTCATTATCGGCTGTTTGAGCTATATTTAACTTTTCAAATTAAAATATTTTCAAATTTCACTCTTTCCCATGTATTCAAATTATTTACATGAGTAGAATTAACAACTACATAGGATAGCAATTCTCAACCTTATAAGGTATATGCTAATCACCAGCTTGGAAGTGGAAAGGAACTTTTATGTTCAGGATATAACATTGCACTATAGCATGGATGCTTCCTTAAGCATTTATAGGTTCTGATCCTGCAAAGATTCACATGCTTACTTGACTGACTCTGAGTCCCATTGACCTCAAACAGTTCAATTCATGGTGCATAAGTATCTGTAAGATCAGAGCCATAGGCCTCAAATATCACTGCCAGATGTATGATAACACTAGAAATGAGCTAATGGTTTATTCCAATATTATAATTCTTTGAGCTCCTCGTTGATACTGGCCAAATCTATGTGTGGCAATAGGAAGTCTGAGGATATGTGGAGGAGAAGGTCAAAGAATGAATCTCCAGAACTTTACCCTCCTTTCACTAACTGATTTCTTGAAAATAGTGTCCAAATGACATAGCAAAAAAGATTCATAATCAAGTATTTACTGGAGAAATTACAGTAAATTTCAAAGTTTCTTTATTGCAACTGAGTCATCACAAACTTCTCTGCTGCACTTTATCTACACAGCAATTCTCACAGTTTAATATCTCTAGAGTGCAGTTCATAACCCTGTTCCACCTTATGACATAGTAGGAGTTGCAACTTATAATTTCTTACAAATATCTGTTAACCTCAGCAAGAAGGCTGCTCCCAGATGTTTCTGTTAATGCTGGAATTCTGTCTCTGAAATTCCATTGATAGTTTTGTAGAAACCAGTTTTAGGTTTAAGTTTTTGTTCTTTGGAGTTTTCTGATTTCTATACTATAATTGTTTTACATCTTTTATTGATTTCTGGAGCTCCACGGGTGTGATTTAAAATGAATATGTCTTTCAAGATTAGTATCTGCAGTAAATGGTGGTTTTATCCCAACATGTATAACTTTGGTGTGTTCAAAATCTTGATCTGGATACGAATTTTGAAATTGCTGCTATCTTTACATAATGAGCTGAAACAAAACCCCAGATCTTAACACACATAATTTTTTTGCAGTTAGATACTAAGGTGATAACACCTTAAAAATATGAAAGGATGGAAGAAAGGAGAAGCAATTCTGCAATTTGATCCATTCTCTAGCTAGAAAGAAGGGGTTTTTGAAGAAAAACAAATACAAACTTGTGGAAGTGCATTTAAAAATAATTGTATATAAATGCTTGACAGGAGATATAGAACTTTTATCAACTAAACCTTGTTTTCCTGGATGTACAGGTACCTCTGTTCTACAGGTGACAGCTACAGATGCAGATGACCCTACCTATGGGAACAGTGCCCGGGTGGTATACAGTATTCTTCAGGGACAGCCATACTTCTCTGTTGACCCTAAAACAGGTGGGCACTTTATATTTCTTATAGTTTGATGCACCTGGTAGGTTGTAACCCAACATATGAAAGATTTTTTTCCTCCTATTAAATTCTACTATTGACTTGAACACCCTTTGAGCTATGAGAATTGCAATTTTGTACTATACATTCAAATAAAATGTCTGTGTATAGAATTAATTCTTCAAGGAGTTGTGATATGAACCATTCAGCCAAAGTGGAGTATCATGTTTTTGTACTTTCAGGTTTAGGCTCAGCAAACCACTCAACTGTGCCTATTAAATTATTATTTTAAATGTTTTGTCTTGCCTGTAGGACAGGCTTGGCAGGATTATTGAATGTGAGCTTCAACACACATACCATAAGAAACAAATATTATGTTTGTATTTCTAAAACTGCAATATTGTCATTACACTGAAAATGTGTTCTGTATGACTCAAGGTGAAGAATGATCTGAAATGATCAAGTTTAAGCTCTGTGCATCATTTATGCTCTCCCCACCCCCCCAAAAAAATACATAAAAGCACAAAATACGAATAAGAAATTCAAATAGCTCATGCGAAAGAGTAAGAAATGTCTACCAAAAGGGGTGTTTAATATTGCTTGAATTTCCTGGACCCCATTAACTTGTCTATGTTTGATGACAGACATTTTGTTTTGTTTAACATAATTTTTTATCTGTAATAACAAGGCTGTTTAATTTAATACAGTATTCACTTCAGATGAATTTAATAATTGTTGTTTTTCCTTTCCCATCCCCTCCAAAAACAAATCCTCATAAGCCAGCAAAATTTTGCTATGGAGCAAAGAGATCACAACTACTATTTATGACAGAAAAAAATAATACTTTTGAAATTGTATGACATAAAATAAATTCAGAGACACTTTATATGCATATATATTCACAGGAGGCATGTTACATGTGAATGTATGTGATTGTGTGTGTGTTGATCTCCATATGCACAACTGCTGGAGGAGTAAATTTACTATGTGGTGTGAGGTAAGAGTATCTGAATCTGGAGATTGGTGATTATAAAACAAAGTATTTTTATCAGGAACAATGGGTTCTAATTCTCCCGGACATGTCTCAAGATAAGAAGCCTGTAGACTCAGATTGAAACATGAGATTTTTATGCTGTGTCTTTAAGAGGTGTAGCACAAACCTCCCAGCCAGGGGAGGGGGATTAAAGTGGTGTTATATCATCTTTTCTTGCCCTGAGGTTTCAGGCAACTATGGGCACTGAAACAGCCCTGGGTGTATTTTAGGCAGCCCTATATTTGAGGAGTCTAAGCTGTGTTGCCTGTGGGCAGGAATGCCACCCAGAATCCACTATTGTGGTGCCCCGCACACATTCCCTAGTCTGGGATTTGCAGAGGTGGTCTCTACTCCATTCCTATGGTGCTGGATCCAGGAATTTCACAGCCCATTTTGCTGCCACAATATAAAATATAAAGCAGCACAAAGATTCCAGAGTCGGAAGGAGAATTCCCTCCCTACATCATTTCTTGATGAACTTGTTAAAACAATAACAATAGCTTGCTAACTTTTATCCAGAAAAACTTATCCAGGGTACCAAGAAATACATTAATGAGGCTTGTAATATTTTACACTTCAAGTTGCTCATGCAGCTTTCAGTGGGGAGGGGTGCATGTGTGTGTGCATAGATGTATCAGATCCTTTAGAAAGAATATTGAATTCAGTTTGTTATAAAGGTGACAGCATATCTGTATTTGATTGGCCAAGCATTATGATGTATTTGACATCTGATTTGTTTTATATAATTGTATTAATGTATGCATTATAGAGTAAGATTATTTATAAGTAGATTGTATTTTTAAAAAACTTAAGAAAAAAAATGGAAATTCAAAATTACCCAAATTGTCTCATCCCTGTATCCCACCATACTATGCACCATCGAAATATCAGATCACATCTGTGTTAACTATAATTCTCATTTTTGCCTTCTATATTTCTACTTTATTTTTGTCATTCTGAGGCAATGTTCGATTTAATTCATTTTGGAGAATGAGATATTCTGTAAACTGGAGCCATTACGTAGCCAATGGATGGCTCATAGTGGAGATTTGGTTGTGTGTGGATGTTTGAAAGTCATCCCACATCAGGGAAGAGAATAAGATAGTTGTAGTGGTCTTTGTACTCAGAAAGTAGATGAGAATAGATTTGACATTGTTAATTTATGAAGCCTTGGTGAGGATTGGTGTTATAAACTTAAGTGGTTTCGAGGCTTTATGTAGATGATAAGATGTGAAAATATTATGACTTCTTCTTGACTATATTGGAAATTTGGGATGGCAGAGAAAATTGGAGAAAGGCATTTGACTTGGCAGGTAGTATGCCGAGTTTGTTATGATCCAATGCGAAAATTAAGATACTGGAAAATGAAGAAAAAGGTGTAGTGTATGGCTTTAAGGTGTTTGTAATCTAGATGTAGGATAGTCAGAGATATAACAGGAGAATATGAACTGTTTGACAGTCTTTGTAAAATCTTAATTCTGAACTTCCAGGTTTTCAATCATTTCTATTCTTTACAACTTTACAATAGGTCACTTTTCTTGAAGTCTTTCTTCTACTCTATCTTAATGAAGATTTTATCTGGCCATTATCTTAGCTTATAACTTAATATATAAAATAATGATATACAAAAACTAAATGTAGATAGTTTTGATAAAAACTGGAGGGGAGAGAAAGAGAGAAAGTCTTATGAACTCCCCAGGAATCCATGCAACTGTTACTGAAACCCACAGGGTCCCTGCCACAATTCTTAAAGCTTCTTGGAGTCTTTGGCTAGAGACATCTTAAATCTTTTATAGCTAGCTGTCCATTGTGAATACCGACTTTAAGAAGTGCACTGCTTGTAACTACAGATAGGTTGAACTCAGTGCTATGCAATTTACAATTCAAAGACTCCAGTTCTGGACTTCTCAGAAGTATGGTATCAAATAACTCAAAAATTAAACCATCACACTTTCAGAAGTTGTCAAAGTTGAAGACAATAAAACAATTGTCACTGAAGAGAATAAAACAAATTTGAAATATTTTGATCAATGGTGGGTTTTTTTTAAGTTAGACTTTCAAAAATGCAAACAGGTTTCATATTTTTGAATTTTTATGTTTTAAGGTATTTGCTTAGCTACCCTCAAATAAATACATACATAAATAAATAAAACTAGACTCCTTCCCTGACAAAATAATATGTGCAAAATTTTCAGGCAAATAATTCAGTTTTCATCAAGGTAGAGGGATGCCAGACTCCTGTCTCAAGTGGAAACTTAACCATGGCCAACTATTATCGAAGCTTACGGTTTATAACACGCTTTGATTACAAAAAGGTGCTCTATAAGTTTTAAGTATTATTATTTATTTACTTAATACTCTTAGTAGTACTGCGGTGGAAAATTGAACTGGACTGTTTTCTGACTTGCTTCACATCTTCAGCAAATGATCATCTATGTTCTGAGTATAGAATATTTATTCCTGATGCTCTTGAAAGAAGGAGAAACTGAAGAGATTTATTTTTAGATCCCAGGTTATGTTAGCGGAATTAACCTGCATCAGCTTGATGCTAGATGTGACTGATATATAGGGAACCCTAGGACAATAGTCTCTCCACCCACCACCACCATATTATAACTAATGACATTTTAAGGTAATTAAGTTATCAGTGGATATGAATGGTTATAGAACAAGTAAATTAATAAATATATTAGGGCAAAATAACATTTTAAAAAATGAATTCTGCTATTATTGGTGGAACTTTTTGAAGAATCAAGAAATGCTTTTAAAATACTTTTTTGACATTTTTACATTGCTTGTAATGATAGATGTTACAAATTTCAGATCCCAACTTTCCTAATATTTGGGAAATTTTGAATCCAGTCATTTGATTTGTAACCATCTCTGCTAATTAAACTCCACATCAAAACACGTTCTTTGTTTATATAAAATAAGTGTATTAAATCAGAATTATATAATAAAGATAGATAAGCTGGAAAGCTCTATAGACCAACTGTACAATACAGATATCTTGCTGTACAGGGCATGATCAAAAGCCCATAGAAGTTACTAGTATATTTCCTTAAGTGTATTACTTCCACAAATAGCTTTAATCATTCATTCAATGGTATAAGAAATATGAAACTGATATGCAAACATACTTGATGAACTTCATTAAAATTTAGTGTGCAATATTCATTAGCAATTTACTGAGACTAGTACAATGATAGAAGCAGTTTATCTTGTATCCATTAAAAATGCTGAAATTTGTGTTATGAAAATCTGACTCTTGACACTAATTTGAAATACAGAAATTGATGCAGGGGAAATGCATTTATTCTTGAACCAATGTCTCTGAACAAGTCATGAAGAAAAGTTAAATATTCAGATTACACAGAAATTGTACTTTAAAATAACTGGCTGGTTGGAACTGGGGTGGCAACAATACACCAACATTTGTAATCATAGGTCAATTATTGTTGTTTTTGAAAATATTAGTTTAGAAGTTTAAATTGTAAAGCAAAATATTTGTGAGATAATATTTCTGAAAACTAATATAAATAATGTATGAGAGAAATGGCCTCATTTTGTGTTTTTCAAGAATGCAATAAGATTGCAATGGCTTCAAGCATTCCTCATAAGAAATCACTCATTTACAATGTCTCTGGACTGGTTCTTTTACTGAGAGTATAATAATAATAATGATATTAAAATGTGCCAATACAAAGAAGGAAGGTGCAGGTACTTCCAAGCATAAGGATGTGTCATGTTTTTCCAGACTGGCAGTCCCTGTGATTTATAACATATGGTCACTTCTATTTTGTGTAGAACAATATACTTACCCATAGTTTGCAGACAGCACTTAGATTTTGTGGTATCAAAATCTCTAAAGAATGATTTTACAAAAATGTATTTACAATTCACTTGGGTGGCGGGAGGGGAGGGACAAACAGCACTAGATACTAGGTCATAAACCAACTGAATACTGTAGAAC